TTTGCATAAATCTTTTAATTTTTATTACTTCTAACCGAAAAAAGTTGGAAAATGTTAAAGCCGAAAAAATTTAAATGTTCTATTCAGTTTACCCTTTTACTCACATTTTTTATTCTTAAATTAAATTTGTTTTTAGAAGAGTTTTTTCCATTACATTTAAGTGAAAATAAAATTTTCGAAAAGTAAATTTCGTATGAAAACAGAAGTAAACACTGTTTTGTAACTCAAATTCATACCGAAACCGACTACAAATTCACCAAAAAAAATTTTTGAAAAAAAGTCCCAAAAATCCAAAATTTTGAAAATTTGATCTTCACACAGTAGCAATTTTCCAAATAATTTTTCACATTTAACTCAAAAACACCTACCTGTTTGCAGCGTTTCGAAAGACTTCTGCATAATTTCTTGTAGAAAGGCGCCATTTTCGGTTTGTCAAAATGCACAAGTTCAGTGTCAATATTTTGATAATAAACCATGAGTATTTGTATTATTCCACAAGCACARCACACACCAAATTCAATATAAAAATTTAAGTTTTCAAATATGTACGTTTATGAAAGTTAGAAAATTGCCGCACAAATGTTTTGGCGCAGACTGTTTACATTGCAGTTTGATTTTCGAAAATTACAGAAGCAGGAAAGTACTGAAAATCGTTAATCGAGATGATTGCAGTAGTTTTSAGTTTCGCGTTGAAACACTTCAAAAACAGTAAACACAATTATTTTTCTAATCTCAAAATTTCAAAAAGTTTTCGGAAAACAGCACTGTGTTTATTTTACTTTTGTTGTAAAAACAAATTTTCGCACTGAATTTTTCACTTCASCAAAATATGCAAATTTACCGTTGCGTTGATCGTACGTAACTGAATGCGACGATCGTGGCGGCCGCTTCTTTTATGTGCCTAAACGAAACRAGGCGCATTGAGTGGGAAAACATTGTTTTGAGTGCGCAAATGAGTGCAACTCAAGGGAGAACAGAGGAAAATATTTAAGGAAAATGCTGACAAGAAAGAAAATACTCAAAGAAAATGAAAACAATGAGCGATTTCTCCGAAAATTATGCATACAATTTATCTAGCAGATACAGAAAAATTAGCTCGCAAGCACGCTCATAACCCCACAGATAATATAAATAAGTATGTGTATCGCACATACGAAATGAGAATGTGTTTGTRTTAGTGAACGCTTTCTTTTGTACTTACTTGTTGCACGACAATGGTGGCACGCGGCGATGCATTCATCGCCACATCCATTGGGTTTGGGGTGACGTTGATGGGCCCAGCGCCAACGCCTACCGCTCCTCCAGCTGTCAGCAGCATACTGCCCATGCCGCTACCTGCACCCCTTTGGCTGTCATCCAAATGGTCGTGCGCCGCATTTGGCACGCCTGTTTTTCCTGCGGACTGCTTCTTCTTCGACGATCGCTTGCGCGGATGCATCATTTGCGATTCGGCAAAGAAATCGACACGTAAATTTGGCAGTGGCGGTGATATCGTGCCGCGCATTGACCCGGTTGGACTGGACGTCGGCGCCACTGTACCTGCAGCATTGTTGCCGCTTCCATTACTGTTGCTACTGCCATTTGTCGCCTGCAGTGTGCTGCCAATCAACGCATTATTATTGCTGCCGGATGGACTACCACCCGCTAGCGGCTTGACATGCGGTTGTTGTTTCGGTGGAATCTGCTCGAATTTCGAGGCAATCTCCTCGAACTTATTTAGCTCAGCGTAAGATTTGGGTGAATGTTGTCTACTGCCTAGACTGTTGCCACAAGCGATCGTCGCATATTCGCCTGGTGATTGTTGTTTGACCTTCTGCGGATAGAAGGCATCCGTCTGCGGTATGTATGGTTGACTTTCACGTATCGTCGCGTGTATTACGGAACTAGGTCGGATACGTTTCGAATTCTTGCGCGACGGTGGTCCGTTGGTCTGTGCCTCTGCCGGCTGTTGTCCGCCGTGTTCTTGTTGTGCCAAAAGCTTGTATTGCTGAAAGGCCTCGCCCGCCTTACTGGGCGATATATGGTGAACGGACATTTTGCGCTCATACACCGAACAGGGTTCAGCATCATCTGTGTCGCTGGACGTAGTTGKCGAACTGGAGTTTTCATCGACCGCAAAGCATTCGCGCTGTATGCGTTCATAGTCAATCGCTTCGCGATCGAATGGAAACATGGTGGATTCTTTGATGCGTCCACGCTCGCTGCCGCCCGATGAGGAGCTGGACGAGTATTTGCGCTGCTGTGACGCTGGCGATAGCTGTTTCGGCTTACCGCCGGTACTAGCAAAGAAGTGCCCCTCTTTCATGGTTGGCGGCGCGGAGCTAGAGGGTGAGCGCCGTTGTTCGCGTTTCGGACTAGTCGCCGCACCATTGCCAGCGGCCGTATAACGCTGACGCGTACTGCCACTCGTTTCGCGCGAACGTGATTTTTTGCTACGTGTGCCCTCCAAGGACTCCTCATCGTCGGCCAGTTGGTGTTGTTCATAGTAAGCTTGGGCGACGGCAGCTGCGGCTGCATGCCGTTGTGCCGCATATGCGCGATATTTACTGCGATTCGGTGAGATATCACGACGTCCACCTGTTGGACTGCGCTCCTCCATAAAATTGGTCGTATGCACGCGTTGATCTTCCCAATTACTGCTGCGACGTGTCTGTTGCTGCACCGGCTGATGTGTGTGCTGTTCCTTGAAACTGAAGTGTGTGCGTGATTTTTCGCTTGTGCGCGCCGATTTCGGTGATATTGGTGGATCAAATGTGAAGTGTTTAGTGCCGCTGCTGGGCGCCGGTGCAGTATTCGGCAGTCGCTCTTTGCCATTGTTGCTGGGMGYACTGCCGGTAGTGGCTGTTAGCTTGGAGGCGGGTGGTGCGGACGTGCCGCATTTGTTGCTCTGTTGCCGGCGATGCGAGGCAAGCAGCGGTGTGGTAGACGATGGCTCAATGGTAATAATGGACAGTGACGACTCTTGACTCTGAAGTGGCGAATGTGGAGGAAATAAAAATAGTGAATAATTTATAGCAYTACAAGTATTAAATGGGCTTCAWTATARTCTACTTCAAGGTGGGTTGTGCAAAAACAGAAATTAATTTGAAGCACGTACGAAAGTCAGTATATCTGAGTAATTTTATTATTTTAATAGGTAGTCTAGTGGTGGTAGGTAGTAGTGTTATCAGCAATGTGACCCCAGAGCCCATGTACTTTTCTTTTTCCAATTATATTTTTAAATCTGTGGTGAACCTACGATATATGTTGATCAACATATTTATACATCTCCTTAATAAACCATATTAGATTAATTGAAAGCATGGTTAGTCCACATTCGTTAACATGGAAAGAAACTGTTATCCTATCATAAAAAATGTATGTCATAAAGAATATAATCCATTTACACCTAAATGACGCTGAGATCGCTAACTGTGCCCTCAAATGTAGTTAAGGAGTGTCTGTTCTCATTTGAAATCCATCCAATTACTTTATCATCAGACTCGTGTGGGTGGGTGTTTATAGTGAATAGTCGTAGTTGAGAGTGTACATGAAGACAGTGGAGAGTCCATTCGGCGTTGTTCGCAGCAACTCGGACTGACATATGGAACGACTTGCCGATAGCTGAAAGCGTACAAAATACAGCTTATGCAAGATTGAAGCCGCTCGACCTTCGCAAGCGACATCGTTTGGCATCGATCTTGAAAAGCAAGAAGTCCAACGTTTTCTGGCTCAATGGGTATGTAAACAAGCAAAATGCTCGCATTTCACTCATTCAGAAAAACAATGGTGTGGTGTGATTTGCGGGTGATATGATCGGTCCTTATTTCTTCAAAAATGATACCGCTGAGAACGTAACTGTCAATAGCGAGCGTTACCGTGCCATGCTAACTGACTATTTGATGCCTGAAATTGAAGGTCGTGATCTCGGTGACATTTGGTTTCAACAAGCCTGTGCTACTTTCCACACATGACATCAATTAATGCATTTATTGAGAGGAAACTGCGGTGAGCAGATAATTTCTAGTTTTGGGTCGGTCGATTGGCCACCAAAATTGTGTGTTAAATACTGTTTTTAAATATTTTCACGATTGTTCTTGTTACCCACAGTCCTTCAATGCGAAGCTGTGGTGTTCTTGTGTGTGCAGTAGTCGTTTCCGGGGCTCCCGGTCGTGGGTTATTAAAGCTTTTTTTGCCCATGTGACTAAGAGAAAACCACCCGATGCTGCTGATAAGTACTTACGAGACCGCATTCGCTACTCTCAACTGGAAAAATTATCTATTTTCATAGCCACTTTCTATAATTCACTAACCAAATTCCTAAATAATATTTAAATGTTGTAAAGCATGTAAATTTTCAACATATTTATATCCCTAAAGGCAGCAGCAACCTTGACATCACATTAAAACTAATACTTTTATAAATATAGCATATTAACCCTTGCGCTAAACTGTTAAACGGTGAGAAAGTGTGATATTTTACTCACCTCAGTGCTATCCTGTACATTCATATCCGGTCGATTGTACATGTTGCAACTTGTTAATTCCAGTTCGGTGCCATTTTCATGTTCAGAATCTACTTGTATGGCGGTCAGCAGTGGTTCTTCCAGTGAACTGAACAACGGTTCACTCTGGCCCGAATTATCACCTGCAAAGCGAGAAAGRAAGGTGAGGATATTTTACATAAAATATACACATRTGTAAATATATAAATRCGGATTATRTGTTTGAAAACTAATACAAAATCAAAGTGAAATATCGGAAATAGAAAGCAGYAAATCTGTGTGAAAAAACATGTATGTATGTATGTATGTGAGTGTAAAGCGCCGACAAGTCGTCAGTGTCAAACGCAATTTAMATAAATCTTTGCATGATTGAGTGAACCCAATACATGAGTTAAGATACTGTTTGTGTGCTGCTAGCGATCTTTTTAGTTTTTAGCAGCATTTTTATTTGATTCTCCTAAAAGGATGCGATGCAGTCAACAGCTGACTATGCACACTGGAGTAACCAATGCAGTCGATTTAGCAATCAATCAATTAATCAATCGGAATAATAGTGAAAATAGTGAGAGAAGGGATAAACAACAAACAATTGGTGGCTTACTTTTTGTTTTGTTTTTCTTATGGATATAGATTGCGCTAAATACTAAGTATGAAATTCAATTTAGGTTGGTGAATGGGTATTTCGTTTTCAAGCATGGTATGAAAAAATTGTTTATTTCAGTAGATATCTACACGAAATTTGGCAAGAATCTTTGTCCCAGGCAACGCCAAAATCCACAAGTAGTTTGCTCAGATCGGACTAATGCAGCATATAGCTGTCATACAAACTCAGCGATCAAAATCAAGACCTTATGTGGAAAACTCTCTTATTTTACGATATATCTTCACAAAATTTTGGTGTAGATTATTATCCACATCATTTACTAAATTTCCTAAGAAATTTTTTAYATCGGCCTTATATAGCATATARCTGTCATACAAACTCACAAATCAAACTCAAGCCCTTGTATGGAAAACTGTTTTATTTGAAAAGATATCTGCACGAAATTTGGCATGAATCTTTGTCCAAGACAACGCCACAATCTACAAGTAATTTACTCAGATCGGACTACTAAAGCATATAGCTGCTATACAAGCTGATCGATCAAACTTARGTCCTTGTATGGACAACTTTTGAATTTAAGAAAATATCTACACGAAATCTAGCACGGGTTATCGCCAACGGCAACACTTTAATCGCCGAAAAATTTGTTCAGATCGGACTACTATAGCATATAGCTGTCATACAAACTGATCGATCAAAAYACAGACCTTATATGGAAACCTTTTTTATTTGACAAAATATCTTCATGAACTTTCGCACGGATTATTGTCAAAGGCATCTCTATAATATTCGGAAAATTTGTACAGATCGGATCATTATAGCATATAACGGCCATACAAATTTACCGATGAAAATACGTTTTCAGACAAAGCTAAACACATAGTTGCTCTTGTCAAGGATATTTGCTCCTTTTTCTTCATTTATACATTTTACTCAGGTTTAATAATAAATATTTACCTCAATGTTTAACACACGCCACCTAGTTCATCCACTTTCTAACTACTTGTAAACTTTCATTATCATCAGGGGTGAAATTATAGTTTTTTTTTCAATCAACTGGAAATTCTGTTGAATTTTATTATTAGTTTAACGCTACAGTTTATGCGAAAACCCGCTAGAACGGTCAATAGGTCAAAAATTCGCTTGAAACTTGCAAGTGAATTTGCATTAATTATACGCCCTGTCGTACCACAATGAACCGGTGCTTAATTATTTACTTATTTATTTACTATAGCAGCAGACTGCAATCGGCCAAATAACTCATTTATGGGCAACGAACTAAAGCTAACATTTTACGAGCTGGCGCGTTTGCAATTTTCGAACACTGACCGATGGCAATAAAAATGGCAGCAAAAAAAAAAAATAATAATAATAATAATAAACTAAAAAGCACGCAACAAACATTGTTAGCGCAACAAGCTAAACAAAACACATGAACTCTATAAAATAGAAGCGCGGAGTGTGAGCAAACACGTGCCGCAAATGTCTAACGGTTAAACATTTATACATTTTACTCGGGTTTAATTTATCGCCGGCTATTTCTCAATAATCAGCGTCTATCTAGTGTTTCCAGCAGACAATGTTGCATGCAACAGCCTTAACAACCTTTCTGGCGCTTTTTATATGAACACGAAAATTTCGGAAATATTTCATTTCGACCAAAATCTCGCCATTAATTATTTATTTAGCCACCGACTAATTTATTCAACTTTGTGTCAACCAGCAACACATAGTCATTAACCGTTCATTAATTATTAAATTMTCATTGTTGTTGTGCGTTTACACTCCATTATAGGCAGGCTGGCGTTAACTTACCCAAATCCAGTGAATCGCATGTTTCTGATGTGTCTGTGTGTGTGACGCTCGTCACAAGCGTCGAAGCCGAGTCGGTTGATGTATTGATGTTGCCATCGGTGATGGATGCTGACGAGGAACCCATTATGACAACCTGTCAACAAAATATATGCACATGAGTAGGATAAATATTTAACCGAAAATTTTCATATTTGTCATGAAATTATTAATATTCATAGTTTTTGATAATTATTTGTGAATTACTAGGCAAAATTTTGGAATTTTGATTAGAAGTARAGATTGCGGAGTTCAAAAGAAAGTGTTAATGGCTATTCGACCTATTAGTATATAGTGATGTCGTAAGGTATTTAATGATTAATTGCTTTAAACTTAAAGGGTGTTGRTTCAAGTTGCGTTTTTCATAAAATGTGATTAAATATTTTTTGATTATGATAAATTGATTTTAATTTACTAAATACTGTCAGTAGAAWTAATTGTTTTATATCACTTTATTGTATTATATTTTCAAAGCAATCTTTCGAGAAGCTGATCCTTTGCTTYTTTTACTAAGCTAACAACCTTTCCACATGCATTCAATGCCAATGAAGAATTGCACGAGCGGTATAATGCTTGTCTCATTTGGGCAAACTTTCCAAAATCACAATTTTTCTCACAATTCATCGTTGATTTCAGTGCAAACTCACCTTTGGTACAGCCGCGGTAGCAGCTTTCAGCGGCAAAGCGCCACTTATTGACGTGTGAAATGCAGCAGCTGCCGTGGAAATGGCATTTAACGGTATACTGGTCATCGAAGTGGTAGCCGTTGAGTTCATTTTTGATTTACGCCCACTCTTGAAGTACAATCGACGCAACGCTGTGGCTGACGACGATGACGAGGTGTTGAAGCCATCATTGTCCGARCCGCTAGAGGCGCTGCCRCCACTACCGAAACCCGCATTGATGCCAGTGCCACCATTCATATGCACCACTGCGGCAACGGTAGTGTGACGATTGTTAGCAGTGTTGTTGCTGGCGATGCGTTGATTATTAGTATTTGGAGATTTACTATGAATGCCGACTGGTGGAGGGCTATAGTTCGAGTTGTTGGTATTGGTGTTGGTTTGGTGGTTAATCAATGGCGCGTGATTGCTGTTAGTTGCGACGATTTTCTCCGCACTTTTTCCGGTTGTTGTTGGTTTTGTGTTAGTTACAGCAGAATTTTTCGGTCGGTGACCCAATGCAAGTGCCATCATGGCGGCCGAGCGTGTGGAAGCGTAACAGCTGGAAGCGGTGCACGGCTTGGTGTTGGCGCTAATGGTGGCACCTCCTTGCGTTGTTTGTGCAACCGTAACAGTCATGGCATGTATGTTGTTGGGTCCAACACCTGCAATACAATAATGTAATTGGCAATCAGTAAGCAAGTATGTGTGTGTGTAATGTAATTTGAACTTTCACAATGGTATTAGCAGCACAATGCCTGAACGCGGTTAAGCAAACTGCGGTTGACCTGGGATTACTCAATGCTTTCGCTTAAGTAACGGCATAATTATACCTAAGTACTTACAACTACATATGAACCACAACTACAAATGTCAAGACATGTCTAAGTAGCTTTAGCTATGCATAGCTATACTTTTAAGCTTAAACTCTTAGAGCTTTCACTTTGATTACTAGCATAMTCATAATATACATATGTAGTAACGCATATTACTGTCACTTAAATCAATATGCCGCTCTAATAGGATATAATTATTTACTGGTGATTCAACTTACTGAAAATTTCTTGGACGACCTCAAAGGCCCAATCACAATAACTATATCACTCAATGTCAAGCTGCCATTGCAGTTTCATTTACTGCCTTGGCAGTAACCACATTTCACTTACAGAACGCACAAACGACTCGAACACATTTACAATATACTGTACATATATACTTGATAACATACTCATGTTTCGGAAAAGCGCACAGCTCCGGTCTTACAATATACTCTGTAACAAAAATTTAATTCAAGATAAAGAGTTTAGCTTAGGTTTAGGATGCTCCACAGTATTGCGGATGGGATAAAGCTTTTTGTTAATGAAACATCAAAAATCTTAAAGATCTAAAAAAGAGTACTTTTCTCATTATTCATATTTAAAAACTATATAAAGCTGTACGTGTATATTTTTATACTTCAAGAGGGTATATTAAAATTGTAGCGAAATTTAAAAGATAAAGATGGAAAGGTTGGATACCCTATAAAGTATAACATGCATAAGTTGACTCGATTTACACGTGTGGCTGTCTATATGTGTTAAGGAGGAGTTTGAGTGTCATCACTGTAGAAAGCTGGCTTTCAGGAGACTGGATTTGTGAAAGAAAACACAGACTTCTGATTCTGTCTAAGCTTGGGCTTCCTATCTACTGGACATCTGAATATGTTTTTGCATAAGAGAAACTGCAGATACTCACGTTAAGCACACTGGACATTGTCTGTATGTATAATATATAATCGAACTAGTTCCTCTTTTGAGATATCAATCTAAAATTATACCAACGTCCTCCTGAACTGATCATTTCGGAACCACCGATATCATAACTGATCGACCAAAATCAAGTTCTTTTATGAATAAGTTTTCATTTGACGAGATAACTTTACGAAAATGCCAGCCATCGCTACAAACAAATTGTGCTGATCGTACCAGTATAAGATTTAGTTT